ATATGGAGCAACATGAACTCTCAAGCATTGCTGAGGAGACTATAAAATGGTACAACCACTTTGGAAGACAATTTGGCAGTTTCCTACAAAACTAAAGATAGTCTTACAATATGATCTAGCAATCACACTCCTTGGTATTTACACAAAGGAAATGAAAACTTAAGTCCACACAAAAACCTGCACACAGATGTTTATAGCAACTTGATCTCTAACTGCCAAAACTTGAAAGAAACCAAGATGTCCTCCAGTTCCTGAATGGATAAATAAACTGTGGTACCACCAGACAATGGAGTATTATTCAGCACTAAAAAGAAATGAGCCATCAACCTATCAAAAGACATGGAGGAATCTTAAATGTGTATTACTAGTGAAAGAGGCCAATCTGAAAAGATTACATACTGTATTTTTCTAACTATATGACATTCTAAAAAAGGCAAAACTATGGAGACAGTAAAAAGATCAGTGGTTTCCTGGGGTTGGGAGTAAGTGGAAGGGATGACTATACAGTTCACAGAGGATTTTTAGGTCAGTGAAACTATTCTGTATGATATTTTAATGGTAAATACACGTCACTATACATTTGTCCAAATCCATACAATGTTCAACACCAAGAGTGAACCATAATGTAAACTATGGACTTGGGGTAATTATGATTTGCCAATATAAGTTCACCAATTGTAAAAAATGTACCACTCTGGAAGGGAGTATTCCTAATGGGGGAGGCTGTGTATGTGTGTGGCAAGGGGGTTTTTGGTAACACTATGCACCTCTCTCTCTCAATTTTGCTATTAACCTAAAAGTGCAATAAAAAAAATTAAGTCTTGGGGGCGCCTGGGTGGCTCAGTGGGTTAAAGCCTCTGCTTTCGGCTCAGGTCATGATCCCAGGGTCCTGGGTTCGAGCCCCGCATCGGGCTCTCTGCTCAGCAGGGAGCTTGCTTCCCCTCCTCTCTCTCTGCCTGCCTCTCTGCCTACTTGTGATCTCTGTCTGTCAAATAAATAAATAAAATCTTTAAAAAAAATTAAGTCTTGGGCACCTGGGTGGTTCAGTTGGTTAAGTGACTGCCTTCAGCTCAGGTTATGATTCTGGAGTCCCAGGATGGAGTCCCAATTCTCCCTCTGACCCTACCCCCTCTCATGCTCTCTCTTTCTCTCTCTCTCAAATAAATATTGTTTTAAAAAATATATTTTTTTAAAAAACATATAATGGGGACACCTAGGTGGCTCAGTCATTAAGCATCTGTCTTTGGGCTCAGGTCATGATCCCAGGGTCCTGGGATTGAGCTCTGCATCGGGGGTCCCTGCTCAGCAGGAAGCCTGCTTCTCCCTCTTCCACTTCTGCTTGTGTTCCCTCCCTTGCTATGTCTCTTTCTCAAATGAAATAAAAATATTAAATAAATAAATATTAAAAACATAGAATGTACAATACCAAGAGTGAACCCTAATGCAAACTATGGACTTGGGGAAATAATGATATGTGAATGTCAACTACAACAAATCAATCAGTCTGGTGGGGGATGTTGATCATGGGGGAGGCTGGCATGTGTGTTGGTAGGGGATGTATGGGATTTTTCTGTACCTTCCCCATAATTTTTCTGTGAACATAAAACTGCTCTGAAAAAAATTAAATCTATTTAAAAATATACATATATTTTTTTCAACACAAAAAAATCCTTAACATAACTCACTTTCATAACAAAGTAATAGGTATAGTAGTTTATTTTTTACTGCAAGGAGGAGACAAAATTAAGTATTTTTGTAAAACATTTATTCCAGGTAAGATTTTCACCCTGCCTGAAATGTTATGGTAATCTTAATTACATGCTTATTAAGAAAAAAAAATCTGGCTGTTACCATAGAAATTACCAGGGATGGTTAGTGCCTCCATGATTTGGGCAGTTATACCTGTTAGGCCACTTAATTCTGAACTTACAGGTTCCTGTTTAACAAGGGAAGGCTAAAAATGTCTCCATTTGTTTTAAAGAATGGCTAATACACTCATGGGGAAATGCAAATTGAGGTAAATGGAGCACGCACACACACATCGAGATATGCCACACCACACCATACCGTATCACACCACAGCACACACCACTAAAATGGCTGGTAAAAATTAGGTGGCTGCTGACTGCTAGCTTTGTTTCACTCTCTTCTGATTACATTTCCCTGTCCAGAATCCTCTGATGTTCACTTTTACCTGTATGAAGAATACTGGATTATTGCAATTATATTGGGTTAATGGGGAAGTATGTATTTTATTTTGCTGGGCTGAGTAAGAAAGCTTACAGCTGAGATTTACTACAAGCAATCTTCTAGGCATGTCTCCCTTTGCCAATATCTGAAGCAGTCTTCTACAAGCAGGTTTCAACTGGACATCAAGAATATAAACTCGGGGCACCTGGGTGGCTCAGTGGGTTAAAGCCGTTGCCTTTGACTCAGGTCATGATCCCAGGGTCCTAGGATCGAGCCCCACGTCCGGCTCTCTGCTCGGCAGGGAGCCTGCCTCCCCACCCCCACCCCGCCTGCCTCTCTGCCTACTTGTGATCTCTGTCAGATAAATAAAAAATCTTAAAAAAAAGATATATAAACTCATTCATGCAAATACACTGTGCCTTAGGTTCTTTCTAAATCATATATACTTCAAGAGAGCATGATTCTAACACCAGGACCGTCCCCTCCCCAATTCCTTAGGAATGGTGAACCAACATATTCACATTTAATATGCCCACTTTCTCTTATCACATACCATGTATTATTGACTACAAAATAAGCCTTAGCAGGTGCTCAGCTGTCACTTACTTGCTGTGTGGCCTCAGTCACTTATTTCTTTTTCAGCTGAGAAGTTGTAACAGCATTTAATAAATTTATATACTTGGGAATATTCTGAGGGCTTCAAGTAATGGCCACGGTTTGTGTTTTAAGACACTGACATTTTGTCTACCTAGTTCAGCTCAACCAGAGAACAGCAACTGCAGAACTTTCTACATACAAAGGACTTAAGGACTAAACAGTCATGCTAAGTTCCATGAATACTAATTACATTTTCAGAAATCCTTTTTAAAAGGTGAAAGATTACAGAGTGGCTAAAGTTATGCCCACAAACATATAGGCATATGCATATCCCAGCAGTATAAAGCCTAGTCTTATGTGGTAAGAGGGAAAAAAAAAAGAACCTACAAACCCAGTGATATTGTGAATGAGCCATAAAGCCCTCACTAATCCTCTAGAACTAGATTTTAACCTACCACTCCCCACTCTAAATATCCAACTGACGTTAACTTTCATACTAACTACTGCTTTTAAGAAAAGCTTTCCGGGTGCCTGGGTGGCTCAGTTGGTTGGGCGACTGCCTTCAGCTCGGGTCATGATCCTGGAGTCCTGGGATCGAGTCTCCTATCAGGCTCCCAGCTCCATGGGGAGTCTGCTTCTCCCTCTGACCTTCTCCCATCTCATGCTCTCTCTCACTCTCTCTTTCTCTCTCTCTCTCTCAAATGGATAAATAAAATCTTTTTTTAAAAGCTTCATTTCCATGCACCCCATGTTTATAGTTTATAGCAGCATTCTTTACAACAGCCAAGATACAGAAGAAGACCAAGTGTTTTATATATTTTTTATATATTATATATTTAAAGAAATATTATTCAACCATCAAAAAGAATGAAATCTTCCCATTTGCAATGATATGGATGGAGCTAGAGTATAATGCTTAGCAAAATAAGTCAGTAAGAGAAAGACAAATACCATATGATTTCATGCATATGTGGAATTTAAGAAACGAAACAAGCAAAGGGAAAAGAAAGAGAGACAATCAAGAAACAGACTCTTAATTACTGAGAACAAACTGATGGTTACCAGAAGGGAGGAGGTGGGGGGGAAGGGTGAAACAGGTGATAGGGGTTAAAGAGTGCACTTGTCCTGAGGAGCACAGAATGATGTATGGCAGTACTGAATTACTATATTGTACACCCGAAACTAATGTAACACTGTATGTTAACTGGAATTAAAATTAAAACTTAAAAAAACAATTTTAAAAAGCTTCATTCCATGTTTTGGGCCTGATATTGAGAATCTTATCAACATGAAAGTCTGGTGACATCAAAAGATGATGCTTATCAAGTCGTCTTTCTCCAAGCTCCAGGGAAAGCAAAAAACAAAAACAGCGTGTGCTGTGGATCACTCCCTCCTCCTTTTCCAGGTATGGAACAGCTAAAAGGAGGTTGCTATGACATACACTACTTTCCAGTTCTATTTCAAGTCCGAGTAATAAGATGGGAAACTACAAGGTGTCTCCTGTGGTGGATGTCTGGGGTCTATCTCTAACCCGAAACAGGAAGCTTGACTTTGCTTTGACAGACATCCTCTTGCAGCCCTTTGTCCCTGCTCTGCAACTTACTAAGGCTTTCCAATTTAATACCAATATTCAGAAATATGTTAGTGAGCAACCTCATATAGTAGATACATATATCTATATTGATACATAAATATATTACATGTATATATGGCGGACAACATTCAATTTTGGGCCCCTGGCTTGCTCGCACTCTCTCTCTCTCTATACACCACACACACACACACACACACACACACATTTCAAGTTCAAATCCAGCAAGGCACCCTGAGCGCCTACACCTTTCCACCCACCCAGGAGAGGTAAAGGCAGGAGCAGCGAGCAGAGGTTAAACCAGACACCAGCCAAAACAAACACCACTTCCAAAACAAGGCAAACTTTGGGTCTGGGCGGCTGCAGAGCCCCAGCAATGGCCGGGGGAGGGGAAGGAGTGTCAGTCTGTCTCAGGGGAGGAAGACGGGTAGCGCACCCAGCACTCCTTTGCTGCAGAGGAGGCTGGTGTTCCACGGGGGACAAGGGCGTCGCCGCCATCCCCGACTTCGACCTGGCCGAGGCCTCCAGGTCCTTGGGCAGCCCTATCGCCCCACCCCGCCCCCTTATCCCCACAGAAATGATCCCCACAGACCTGCTGTGGCATAGGGGCGCGGGGACCCACCTGGTGCAACGTCTCGGCGGGCAGCTGCGACGCCCGGAAGAGGTCGGCCACGGTGCCCGCGGCTGCGGTGACCGCACCAGGGACGGCCCTGCCGGCCTCAGGGGGCCCGGACACGGGGCCCCCGCCTGCGGCGCCGGCGCAACGCGCGAAGAGCTCGGAGTAACACTGCTGCTCACCCTCGCTCATCAGCAGCGGCGGCCCGGAGCCGCAGCCCCCGCCCGCCGCCGCCTCCATGGGGCCCGGAACGGGGTCCGACGGAGCACCGTCACGGGGTAGGGAGCCGCCGCCTTCGCCTCAGCCTCCGCCGCCTCGGTCTCGGTCTCGGCCTCGGCAGTCGCCGCCACCGCCCCCACGCCCCGCAGCTGCCGCGCTGCCGCTTCCTCCCGGCGCGCGCCGGCCCCGCCCCCGGACTTGAATGTTGTGCCTCCGCCGCGCGGCACATGGAGACAGGCGCGGGGAGAACCAATCGCAGCCTGGTATTGCACCCCGGCCCCGCCCCCGCCGTCCCACCTCGTCCCACGCCGTCCCACCTCGTCCCACCTCGCCCCGCCTCGCCCCGCCCCTGACCGCGCCAGGTAACTAAACTCCGCGGGCCGCCCACCCCGCGGCGGGTCACCTGCCCCGCCTTCACTCCCGAGACCCGGAGGGCGGGGGCCAGCGCTTGGTGCCCCCATCCAGCCCGGGAGGGGTGCCTTTGGCTCTCCGGCCTGGTTGGGAAGGGAGGCAACTAGACCCACCTGGAGTATGGCGCTTTTCAGGGGGCGGAGAAAGCTGTGCTGATTTCTCCCTAGAACACTGAAGCAGGTGCGGTGCTCTTAGCAGAAGAGGGAGGAGGCGTGAGAAATTAAGCTTCCGTTTTTTCATACCAGTAGCGCTTCTGTCCTGAACAGCTGGAGGACAGAGATCTCCATACGAACTGCCCATAGCGTTTACTGGAGCGATTTAGGCCGGTTTTTCAGGTCTAGCTCAAACCTGGAGTTGAACCTTAAAAAGGAATAGCGTCAGTTAGTGTTTAATACTAGATTAATAACAGTAAAAGGGGTCCTGGAAAGAAGAATTGCATATACATATATA